AATAAAACGTTCTCACAAAGAAAGAATGCTGACCCTGCTCGATTCACAAATTAAAGGTTCTTGCATTTGCCTTTTGTTTCTGGTCGTATAGTTACTATCTGTGCCACTAAATTATATTAAAAACAAGAAGGGCGTTCAAAATGCAAAAACTTGAGAAGTCTCACACGCCGGCCCCGTTCTTGGGGTGCAGAGGCAGAATGTCGAACCTGTCTGTGAATGCCGTGGGGAGATTTGCAAACTCGATTCAAAACGAAACTGAGCAGTGCCTTCCCTTACGAGCACTTCAGCATTTGATTATTTCATATTTAAAAATGGCTTAATTTGGTGATAAAAATAAAATTAGATGGGGGGAGGGGAGCTCTATTAAAATTCTATTAAAGGCAAATGTGAGCCTTCCTTTAGAAATGTTAGAATCCATTCCTTCCAGAGAGATTTTCGCTAGCTTCATGATAAATTATCACAGGAGAACAAAGCAGAAGAGAAATTGGAGCCTTCAGCTCTGACTTGACAAAGCTTTAATTGACAGACCCCATTTTAAGCTCCCAGGCGCAGTGGTTAGTCACAGAGTCCATAGGAACAGGTCAGAGTGGAGCGGGTGCTTGCCCTGTAAATCCAATGCACACATACTTCATGTTTCGATTCCCATAGCCTGTTTCCTCTACAAACCCTCTTCCTATCATGGAATCTATCACAGATGCATTAAAAGGAGTCGGGGTGGTTTTATCCCCTCTCCTTTCCATCCAGCAGGTGACAGAATGAGACACTCAGATATCTGTTAAATAAACAAGTCCTCCACCGCCCCTCCAGCGTTAGTAACCATTGATACTGGATACATAGGCTTCGCCAGTTTTCCAGACTGGTTAGCCTGTGGGAATGAGTTTGTGCGAGTGAACCCTCCCGGAGAAACTGAGCGGTGCAGCCTTAACTCAAGGAAGCCCGTTTTCATCCATGTGTTACAAGTTACACTCGAGGACTTTGCTATCCATCCATCTATTCGTTCATCAAACATTTATTGAGCTTTCTCTGAACTAGATATTAGGAAATAATGGCAGACAGGGGAAATAATGAGAACATTGATTCCCTCGAGGATGACATAGACACAGGTGATAGATGGGAACAGATGTGCGGTGGCTCTGTCTGGTGAGTGAGAAACTGCCAGGCATCAGAAGCCAAGTGAGCCACGGAAACAAGGAACTGAAGGAGGCGTGGTACCACCCTTGCTGCCAGCCCTGTATTCAGACTAATAGTGATAGGTGTTCGATCCTCACAGTGACCCTCAGTGATCCGTGTGTGCTCACTAAGAGTGGTATGGGCAGAAAGACTAGAAAATTTGATCGCGTTCTGCCATAGCTTTTATTGATATAAAAGTCATGTAGTCCTCACTTTGTTTGCATCTGGGATTGGCTCTAGGACCTTCAGGGAAATCGTCTTCCCACATCTAACATGATAGGAACAACATCATTTTCCCAGGTACTTTAAATATTCATCCGGGCACTTTTGACTAATACAATGTAATGCTGTCTACTGCTATCTGCATAGCTACACATACTGTATTTTTTTGAATAATGAAAAACGAAACAAAACAGCTAGCAGGCTGTTTAAGTTCATGAGAACACGCTCTTTCTTAAATACTTACAACTGGTTGGTTGGACCTCTGAAAGTGGACTGCGTGGGTCTAGCGAGCTCTAGTGCACTTGAACTGGAGACTTCACTTGCAGATGGACTAAATCTCTGACTGGGAAGGAGGGGCAGTCACCGTCCGAGCGTGGTCACTGCTAGATACTCGGATATAAAACTTATGAGAGAATGGGGCAAAATTGTATATGGCCTGTTTGTTGATTGAGAGTTCATGTTTCTCAGCACGCCTGGTTTCTCTGAGATGTCCTTGCAAAGAGTCAGAGTGGTGATGTTACATCCAACTGGAGACCTAGATCAGCTTTGGCTGTCTTCAAACCATCAATTTCTTTTCTTAATTGTCTTGAGAAGAGAATTTTTCTTTTCTGAGGAAGCCGTGGCCCTTCGCTAGACAGGAGGAACACACCCATTACATGTTTGTCATCTTTTAATTGGCCAGAGTTATAAAAAGAAACCCCAAGGCCACAGACGAGACACAGCCATCATTACGATTTTAGCTGGGAAAAGCAAGTGTGCTCTTTCGGGTCCTCCGTAGACCAGTGCGATAATCGTACTGGGCAGAGATTTCCATGTTTCGTTTATCACGTGACCGTAATTGTCCAATTTGTGCCCTGCTACAGTGTTCTCATCATGTTCTAAGACAGCAAAAGATGACACACAGGCAGTGCGGTGCTTTAGACTGTTCCTGGAGGTGACCTTGAGCTTGAACCTTGTTCTTACTCTTTCAACACTTACCAAGAAGGCTATTGGAGACCAGAGCCTGTTTTCACACACACCCACTCCGAAATCTTGCTGCATCTGCATCTCGTATTGCTTCCCACACAGCAGTGCCTCGGCTCCAGCTCCGGTGACCGTTTAGTTTTCTGCTCCATTTCTTCGCTGTTTAGACACCGCCGTGCCCCGTCCTCCATACTAATTACTGACTTTTTGCCTCTGCAGTGCTTGGTTCATTGTGTCCCATTTTCCCATGTGAAAGTGGACGGGGAGCCTTGGCAAGGAGGTTAATGGATTTCAGAGTCACTCTCGTTCAGCCCCGGAAGTCACAGGAAAGTAAGAAACAGTGGCTGACCTGTTTTATAAACCAGACTCTAGCCAGCTCCACCTGCCGCCCTGTGAGGGCTTTTACCGTGGTGACCATTACAAATCACAGACTTTGAAGAGTAGAAAATGCACCCTCCTACTCAAAGCCAACGTTCTGCCCAGTGGAGCAGAACTAACCTCAGATTCTAGGGCACGGTACCCTGAGACTTCAGTGAACTCTGTAATGAATTATATTGTGTAGATTGCACTATTACCTGTCTTCCTTCTGCATCTCAGTTCCCTCATCATTAATATTTAATACTTAAAGTTAGTACCATATTTGGCTCTTAAAAGTCAGATATTTTTGCCAGGCATGGTGGCGTACATATGCCTTTATTTAATCCCAGCACTCGGGAGGCAGCGGCATGAGAATCTCTGAGTTCGAGGCCAGCCTGGTCTACAAAACAAGTTCCGGGATAGCCAAAGACACATAGAGAAGCCCCATCTCAAAAAACAAAGAAACAACAACAAAAAAAGATCTAATATTTCAGTAACTCCATTCACGTATTGTGAAGCCATTTGTTCATCCTTACTCAATCCTATCTTCTGTGTCAAGAGTATACATTCAGTCTTCAAATCTAAACAAGACGACATTTCTAATTTTGTTTCTGGGGAGTGTATGAAGTAGGCTTAGCTTTAACACAAATTTTACAATAGTTTGGTTAAGGTTCCCCCGCCTTATGACTTGAAGGTTGGGGAGTGGATCTTACAGCTGAGAGAGGCCTCAGGTAATTAGACTCTGGGGACGCAGTGAGAAGCTACTTAGATTTTTAAAATAACATCCTCAATTAAGCTGTAAGAGAGAAAAGGATGGGAGATTTCCCACACAGAACACTCCCACCAAATCCATTGGCCCCATTCATCACCGCCAGTCAAGTAACAAATATTGAATGTGACTCTGTGCCCAGAGGCAACCTGCCTCACTTCTGTCTCCGTCACCGCTTTGGCCCAGACTCAGGGTTCCATTGTAGCTAATGGGGAAAAGCATCGAATCCATGCAGACCTCCAGTAAATATTCCTTCCCGAGACAAGAACAGAATTACCTTCAAAACAGTCATCCCCCAAAAACATGTGTGTATGCGTGTGTATGTACACATAAATACATACATGTGTATACATGTGTATGTGTGGAGAAAGAATGGGCGTTCCATGAAAACTCAGTTTGACTTTTTGCCTTGCTTCTGTTATTATTTCGGTTTTTTTTTTGTTTGCTTGCTTGCTTTCGTTTGGTTTTTAATGTTTTTAAATGTTTGAAACCGAGTTAGACCACGAAAGCCCCTCGTGATGGGGATCGCACACCTTTAATCCCAGCATTTGGGAGGCAGAAGCAAGTGGATATCTGTAAATTCAAGGCTAGCCTGGTCTGCAGAGTGAGTTCCAGGACAGCCAGGGTTGTTAACAGAGAAGCCTGTCTAAAAAAATAAAATAACAACAACAACAACAAAAACCCAAAAGCAAAAATCACTCCCAGCTCTCAGTTTCAGCCTTTTGCTAGACAGCAGTTAGGACATAGCCTCTTGGCTAAGGGTTGATCGTCTTATCTTCCATTGTTTTCTACCCACGATGCTTTGCTAACCAGTCCATCTAGGATGACCGTCATCATCATCTTTAACATGTCAGGAACTTTTTGATGTCAGTGGGAATGGATGTGAGTTTGCATAGCCGGGTGCAGCTCTACCCTATGGAGGAGTGAGAAGCAGGGATGGTGGCGGACACAGCCCGTCCGGGACTAGCTCTGAGATCTCTTCCCCATCTTTGTGATCGTGTTGGACCACTTCCTGCTCACGACCCACCAGCGGTTTCCCTTCCACTTAAGTCTGTGCCTGTAGACTCCCATCTCTTTAGCTCTGATCGTTTCATTTGCTCTTGGTAACGTGTTCCACGGAGCAATCAAAACACGTCTTCAAAAGCCGACCAATTTTTCCAGTCCCCCACAGCCCCGGGATCTGAAATCCCATTTGTGGAGATTCAGAAGGTAAGATGGAGACCAGATAACATATGCTGCCTCCCTGCCAACTGAGAGCAGGCCTGGGCTTCGAGCCCGCTCGCTGTGGAGTGGCTTCGTGTCTCTAAGTGGCATGTTTATTTGCACGGGAAGCAGGATGACATCAACATGCACAACTTCTAGTGCATTGTTCTTCTGAAGGTTTCTTTTTGTTAGCTTCCTTGGCCTTTTGTTTGTGTTGCCAAGCGGACCTTCCTTTGGCAAAGAGAATAATAGAAACTCTGAAGGAGTCCAACGGGGTCTCAGTGCTTGGGGTGACGGTCTGTTTCTCTTTCCTCAGGCCCACCATCTGCTCCCCTCAACTTGATTTCCAATGTCAACGAGACGTCGGTGAACTTGGAATGGAGCAGTCCTCAGAACACAGGGGGCCGCCAAGACATTTCTTACAATGTGGTCTGCAAGAAATGTGGAGCCGGTGACCCCAGCAAGTGCCGGCCCTGTGGGAGCGGAGTGCATTACACGCCACAGCAGAACGGCCTCAAGACGACTAGAGTCTCCATCACCGACCTCTTAGCACACACCAATTACACCTTTGAGATCTGGGCGGTGAACGGAGTATCTAAGTACAACCCCAGCCCGGACCAGTCAGTGTCTGTCACTGTGACAACCAACCAAGCAGGTAGGAAGAATTCTTATTAAGTCGTGGGTGCTGATAATCACAAATTGTATCACTGTTCTGAAAATCGAAACTAAGCCGGTTATAAACCTAGAAACTGTGCTGTGTTAGAACACAAAAGATTTGGAGGAGGACAGCCATGAGTTTAGCAAATACTGTACTGCTTCAGACGGCAGCTGCCTATGGTGCCTTATGCCGGGCAGCAGAAATAAAATGAAGAATCAGACAGCACGATTGAAAGACAATGACACATTAGTAAACTGAGTCACGTGGGTGCATTTCATACTGGATTTACTTCTTTTGTATTTTTAAGACTTAAGTATTGATGTGTTAGTGTATGTGCATGTGTGTGTGCAGACAGAGGAACCTCTGAACCCAAAAGCACCAAGAGGCCAGAAGAGCCTGCTGTTCTCCAATGCACTCCAGCATTTCCTTTGAGGCAGAGTCTCCCCTAAACTCAGGGCTTGTGTTTTCTAGATTGTGCTGGAAGCCAGCAAACCCTGGTAATCCTTTTGTCTCCGTCTCATTCTAGTAATGCTAAAAGTGTATGCTAGATGTCTGGTTTATTGCATGCTTACTGGTATCTGAACTCTGGTCCTCGGGATTGTTTAGCAAGCACTCTTAGATACAGAGCCATCTCTCCCCAGCACTCTCCGTGTTTGCTGCGTAAGCCCCAAATCCATAATCTGTAGATGGACAGCATTTACAGAGTGCATAAGGTGCTAAAATTGATTTTTACTAATGTGGGGTGTTATCCTGGTGTCTGTTGAATTATCCAGCAAAAGCATTGGCAGCTGTAGTTTGGATCTTGTTCTTAAATGTAAAAGACTGAAAATAACACACAGGGCTTCATATCAGAACACACTGGAAACCTTTCTTCTGTAGTTAACAAAACTTCCCTTAAGAAACATGCTTGTCCTGTGTGGCAGACATGCTTACATAATCCCAGGATTTAGAAGATTGAGGAAGATGAGTAGTTCAGGGTCAGCCTGGGCTATCTATGGCCTTTCTCATGCTAATTCCGTAGACCTTTGCCTAATTGGATCTGACTGATCTGAGCCCCAGGAGGTAGTTAGCTCACCCCATTTCTTCTATAGCATACATCAATTAGAGCTGACTAGAAAACACTGTTCTTGAAGTGTTGGTGTTCATTGCAAATCTGTCCCAATCTGAATATTTAGACGGACAGGAGTGTCAGGGTTCACATGTGGAGACTAGAGAAAAACTTCAGGAATGGGGCTCTCCTTCCACCTTGGAAACCAAGGAGGGGATTTAGGTCAGGCTGTCCTGCAGGCAGTTTTACCTGGTGAGGCCAGGTTCCCTGTTATTTTTGAAGAATTCCGGAGGAAGAGCGGAGAAATTTGCTTATTTTGTGGAAAGCACGACCAGAAAAAGATTGTAATTGCCCCTCAGTCCTATTGTCTCATATTTAACTTTTCAGTATTTCAGGAGGTGATCTCCATCGTTAAGTAAAATATGCATTTTTTTGTACATTTTACTCTGAATTTTTTAGAATATATTATTTTTTTTTTAAAAAAAGAATATTGGGAAAGATTTTGAACAGGAGCTGCCACGAAAAGTCTTAAACTGTTCAAGAATCAACAGTCTCTTTACTTATAGTTATGATCCATGAATGTGAACGGACAGGCTTTTATCTCTTTTATATGCATGTTCACATGTATGCATATGCATGTGTCTGGTTGTACATTCATGTGTCTGGTTGTACATACATATGTATGGTAGAGATTAGAGGACAACTTTGTCACCCTAAGGTGCAATCTCATTTGATTTACTATTTGTTGTTATTGTTATTATTATTATTATCATTATTATTATTATTATTAGTGAGGTAGGGTATCTCTCTGGCCAAATATGTTATGTTTGTTGTCCAGTGAATACAAAGGATCCACTCATCTCCACCTTCCCCATTATAAGAATCTGTCACCAAGCTTGGCTGTTCTTTTCTAGGCTTGCACTTTACTGGCTCAGCTATGACCCCAGCCCCTGGACTTTGCCTTTTAATTTTGTACTTTTAAATCATCTGTGCTGTTTGACGTTTCACTTTTCTAGGAAGACTAGAATGATGTTAGAATTTTAGAAGTATCACCAGAGTAATTAGCAAGGAATGTTTGTGGTGTTGGTATGTGTTTGTGTGTGCCTGCATGTGCATGCGCATGCATGTTTAATACAGTGGACATATCACAGCTCCTTGCTGTATAACATTGGTACCCTTGTATAACAAGCAGCCAACCCGTGCAGAGTGGTCTCCACACTTAGAAGACTCTGGTTATGATTGGTCAGTCTTTCAATTCACTCCTTCCCCCTCCTCACCCACCCACAGTGCTGGGGATTGGATCCAGGCCTTGTGCACACTAACAGCCCCTCTTCCGCAGGGACACACCCTTAGTCCCTCTCTTTCCTTACACCTTTTCGATTATTCTCACACAAACACGAGCATTGTGTTCTTAACCAATTTACCACCAGGACTGGACCTTTCAGGGCCACATCTGTGCAAGGTCAAGTTTGAAATCATTCTCTGGCAGAGAATGTAGCCCTTGGGAGATGGGCTGAGGATAGTGTCTACCTCCACAGGGTGTAGGGAGAGACTTCCATGATTCTTCATATACTCAAGGGCTCCAGCCAAAACATTATGTCAGCCCTTGTTATGCCAAAAGGTCCAAGAGCACAGGGCAGGCAAGTTGAAAATCTTCCACACGAGTAATGCGTGCAAGAACTTTATTAGAAAGGAAGGAAAGAGTCAAAACTTTTGTGAAAAATGTTGTTGTAATAATTTTAGATCGAGCAGAAAAGTGGACAGGTAATTCCTCTGGAACAATGAGGTGTCTTTTTCCCTGTCATGTTGAGCAATCCTGCAGGGAGACTTGCTTAATAGGACAAAATTTCATCTCTTTATTTTAATTTTCATGGAGGTGGATGCTGGGAAGCTGTTCAAAATTAAAAATAAATCTTTCAATAAGGAGACCTCCTATGAGGTCGACCAGAAAGTGCTTTGCTCAGTAGAGAATTATGTGTGTGTGCAGGGCTGCCTCTGCGTTCTGCCACACTTTGAAGTTCACTGATTCAAACTCACTGGGTAGTTTGTCTTTGCTTAACAAACCCTTTCTTCATAATGGTGAGAACTAATAATGGAGGCCAAATTCCTGGGTGAACAAGGCAGTCATCAACTCTATCAAAGCTCCCCTAAGCATATTTACATATGCACAATTATATTCTAATTGCATTTGGTTCCATCATTCCATTAAATTAGATTCCTTAAGGACCTTTATAGGTAATGATGGCTTATTCTATAAAGAATATGGGGAATTAACAGATATTAGCATTTAGTACCCAGAGACCTCACAGTCGTTCCGTACCTTTGTTGTGTTTTCACGGTTTGTTGTTGTTGTTGTTGTTTTTCTCATAAGTAACATTTTTTTAAAGCAAATATTAGATAACAAGGAGAAAATCTTAGTTTAGACAGTGGCCTTTCCTTAAGATTATTATGAAATCAGGTAGTATTCATGGATTCAGCTGGACCTATTCCCATTGTGGACAAAAAAAAAAAAGGTGAGAGGTTTGGATTTAGAGGGGCTCTGATGGAAGGCAGTGTGAGTGGGCTGTGTCCTCCCAAGAATGTGTGAACCTTTTGAAGCCAGATAGAGTGACAGCCTTTTCCTCTCCCCCCTGGGTTCAAAAACAATTGACACAAAGGACAAAGGAAATCGGGGTGTCTGGCACCTGATTATTGATAAGTTGATTGATGGGTGCCAGCTTTGTGACTGAGGCAAAGGGCTTAATGGAGTAACACTGCTCACCACCCAATAGGCTGGCTGATGGCTGATGGGTCCTGCGGGAAGGAAGCCTTGTTGAGGCTGGAGGTTGAGCCTTCTGCCTATGGTGTGAACTTTCTGCTGGGGTACCCAGTCTCTCCAAATGCTGAAGGAGATGTCTGAAGTGTTGAAGGAGGTGGGGGTGAGCTGGAGGTGGAGGGGATCACATTAAATAAAGCCTGAGAGTGGGGAAGCTCCTTCCAGACTTCCTGTTCTTCAGGGCAGGCAAAGGGAGTCAATTGAGGCTTGTCTTCCTGTATCTTCCATCCTGTGGCCGCTATTCTGCCTTTTGTTTGGGAAATTGTCTTGGTGTTTATGAAAAGTGGATATGCAAACTGCTGAGTGATTTGTTTTCTTGAAGGCTTTTTCTCAGTTTACTTTGACTTAAGTGGACCATCTCAGGCAAATGAATACAGGGTGTGTTCCTAAGAGAGAAATGCTGTGTAAATGAAGCAAGGTTTTCTGCCTAAGGAGCGGAATTGTGAGTTTTCCTTCAAATGTTGTGGGAGTGGCCAACATTAATGGTTTTTTTTTTGGTTTTCTTTTGTTTTTTTTACTGTGCTTTCCCAGACCTCCTCAGGCTTTCTTTGTCAGCTCCGAGACTAGATCATACTGAAAGGGAAAGGTACTTCTTTGCCTTAAATCATTATTATCTGACCCTTGTGAGGAGTCTTTTCTACTAACTCTTAATTGCATCCACTGACTGTGGTATCATTTTTTAAAGAGTATCTTGTTTGTTTGCTTATTTATTGATTGATTTTTTTTTTTCTAGGCAGGGTTTCTCTATGTAGATCAGGCTGTCCTCGAACTCACAGAGATCCACCTGTCTCTGCCTCCCAAGTGCTGGGATTAAAGGCATGTGCCACTATCACCTAGCTGTTTGTTTATTTATGTATGACATATCACCACATATATGTGGGTGAGTGTGCACATGATGGCACACGTGTGGAGGTCCTTTTATCATGATATAGATGGCTATAACCCCTTTTACGTGCTAAACCATCTCACCAGCCCCAATGTACATTTTGGGTTTTTCTTTGCTTGTAACAGGGTGGGAAAGATCTGGCCACCCCCTTTCTGGAAGCAATGGCATCTCGGGGACAAACGTATATACTACTCAGGCCAGAAACATTCAGATATTCTATAGATTATGTGATTATCTAAACCTGCCGG